CTCAGAGTGATCAGTTCAGTGGTGATATAAGAAAAACACATGCATAGATGTTTGCTATATAAAATGTCAGTGTTAATATTCAAGAAGGATTTTGTTTATCTTATTTCTAAAACATGCTTAATTAATACATGAAGCGTTATTAAAGTACATACTGTCAAATTTAATAGTTTCAAAAAATATTATGTAAATCTTGCATTTGTTAAAGTACCACATTTCTTGTTTTGTACTTGTGATTCCGAGTATAAAATAAATTGCTAAAATCATAAGAATGTTTATTTATTAACCCTATTAAAGAGCTTCAAAATGAAAAAAATCATATTCCAAAAGTTTTGAATGAGGTTAAATCATGGTCAGAAAATTTGGTCAGATAAGGTTGGCATATGGTCAGATAATGGTCAGAAATGGTTAGATTATGGTCAGAAAAAGGTTGGATTATGTCCAAATAATGGTCAGAAAAGGTTGGATTATGGTCAGATAATAGTCAGAAAAGGTTGGATTATGGTCAGAAAAGGTTGGATAAAGGTCATTTTATGACGTTGTATAGACGTCGGTTTCTGACGTCTAAAAAACTTTCAAATCCAACCTTCTGCCAACGTTTACCCAACGTCAGGGTCTAACGTCAGTACAACGTTGGTACAACGTCTTTTGTAAGCTGGGTAGGTACAACAACTGTCATGTATATTTTTCGGAGTGTAGCAGGACTTATAGAAACTGGATGCAATCCACTGCTACAAATGCTTAGTAACGTACCACGTAACTTAACGCATGCGTCTTTCATTGACAAATGCTTATATGTGAAGTTAATAGGTATGACGTCATTTCCAGAGAAAATAGTACCGAGTCATGCATTAGAATAGCTGGGTTAAACGTTATAACATCGCTTTTTGAAGGGTTGTATAGGAAGCGCCATTTTCTCGAGGAAATGTTACAGTAAGTTATCCAGGAAAGCCAGTTGGACAAGCGAGATACATGTATGACCAAACCGAATGCTAAAAACTAGAAAACTAATAAAAAAACCTCTATACGTTTATTGTTTACGTAAAATGTATAATTCACATACCAACCTCCGTACAATATTAAAACTACGGCTAAGCCGACATCCACATATCTCGAAATAACGGGAGCACGGTAGTACGAAAATACGATGGTGAAAAGTCGAAATAACGAAACCACGATGGAGAAAAGTCGAAAATACGATGATGAAAAGTCGAAAGTTCGATGGTGAAAAGCCGAAATAACGAAACCACGATGGTGAAGTCAAAAATACGATGATGAAAAGTAGTCGAAAGTACGAAGGTGGTTTCGTTATTTCGACTTTTCACCATCGAAATGTTTTGTTTTCGATGCGTTGAGTTATGCATGTTTGTTCATTTTCATACAAAGATTAAAAAACACTGTCGGAAATATCAATGAAAAAAGTTTTGAAATAATTAAAGCGAGAACTATATAATGGGCATCAAAGTCACGTGTTAAGCGGATGTATGTGAATATCTTTTTATGTATATACAGTGTACTTGTTGTCGCCTTTCCTGAACGTCGACATACTCTTAACAAGATTTGACATTTTCTACCCGTACACCGCCCGCCCTAAGCCAATCAAAATGGAGAATTTAACAAAATGGACGAAAAAGACCTCATACCCCACGCCATCCGCCATGTTTTTGTCGAGTTATCTATATAATTATAGAACTGATTGAAATACTCTCTTCATGTTCAAAGCTCGGAACCAGTGTGTAGGCTTCTAAGGGGTAAATAATATATGAACTATTTCCCTTGATAAAGAAACTATAGCTTTAATTAGATCTATCTTTCAGGAAATATTCTAGCTATTTCACGAATTATTATTTTTCGAATACCCGACTGAACGGCAATTCCTAGCATTTTTTTTGAAAAGACTAATACATGTCTTTGTATTCTTATTGTGGACTCGCAAATAAATTATGTCATGATTATCCAGCAGTCAATCATATATATGCTTCTTATTATTATTGGCGTCCGCGCCGAAGCGCGGCGCTCTTATGGAATGAGATCAGATTTTGTGAAAGGGCGACAGCAACTTCTCGAGCCTTTTAGTCGGTCATAATAAAAGCCGAAAATTCCGATCGGTATGAGGGTGCTTGATTATTATTAAATAAGAATGAAATGTCGCGATATGTTACAATGAATTTTCGCAATGCAAACATTTACAAATGAAATAACCTTTTCCGTCAATAAATCGCGCTCTTCGGGGTTTTTTATTTATCATTTTGTAGTACACAGTCGGTTATCATGTCATGGTATGTTATTGTTGTACATGTATCCTAGAATGATCAGTTTGATGACCTAAATATTCCAAAAACCTATTTATAGATATATCTTTTTATCACTCCTATCGGTAAATGCCGGTCTCTCCCGGTCTATTTTGACCAGGATTTACTAGTGACCGGCGAATAGTACCACACGTTATATTGTCCGGTCTCTCCCGGTTTTGGAGTAGATGTTTGATATCGTTACAATTAGAAAAAAAAACAATAGCATGTTTCATTTTATCTATATGAGATAAAAACAATAAATATGTACACGGATTTAAATGTAATATAAATCCGTGATATGTACAATAATTGAGAAAAAGGTACATTTTTTATGGTATTAAAATGACATTATCAACTTTGAAACATTTTATTTAATTATTCAATTTGTTATCCGTGTTTAGTAAAGATGCCGAGGAATTATTCAAAGTTACAAATTAGATTTTATGAATTATTCAATTGATCGATAATTTAAAAAATGATAAAGAACAATACAATGTACATGTACATGGTTTAAGAATAAACAATATTATATATTGAAAGATACACCATAATTTACTGACTTTTTCCAGTTAAGCTTTGACTTATAATCGTCGGTCAATATATGACAATTGAATTCTTAAAATTTATTTTACAATTTTAATAAAAAAGAGTAGTAAAAACTCAGTATTAAAATAGCACATAAACACAAAAAAGAATAAAAGAAAACAATATTCATAAAATTTGTATTTTTTTTAAATTAAAATTAATAGATATTACAATTATTGTATAATAAACAATTATGCTCAACATGATCAACATGGTAATATAACCAGTGTCATATTTTTACTAACTTAAAGTGTGAACAGATACCTTAAGGGGGTCTTCGCTAATAGCGATAACATGTACATAATAAGGGACAAATGTGTGGTACGTGTTGATCATGCGTTACACATATGGATTATAAATGATTGCATACATGTATATCCGTTGCTATTAATAACCACGATCATAAAGAAATAACAAGTAATATTCTAATCTCTAGCATGCCAATCAAAGTTCATAATGAACAATGTCTTTCGTCCGCTCATGCATAAGTGGTATACATTTCTGGTAGTTTATAAGAATATCTTGTCATCATATGTGTACTAGTTCATCTTCACTTGCTGCATTTCTTGCTTGGACGCCCTTTGATGCTTTGCATCAATGCATTTCTTGTACAAAATTATTTTAATTTAATTATTAAACAAAGCTACATATAGGCAGCATCACAGCCTAATAAAACAAACTGTTACTGCTTTTATTTTACGAAAAAGCAATTAAAGCACAAAAACCTATTAATAAAAATTGCAAAACTGTTGTTTAAATCGATATCGCGTTATTGTTTTATTATTTGGTAACTATGAAGCAGATGGTGTAAATGTGCCATTAAAATTGAAGGGCAAATACTGTGACCATGTGGACATAATATGTTAAAGGCCCATTACACCCCAAAAGCGCTATTATTTTCATTATGAAATAGTGATGAAATGACATGCATATTTTAACTTTCCGTATTTTCACTGCAAAAATTTATTTTTCAGTACAGTGAAACATATTTTCCGTATTTTCCCTGGTATCTTGCTTGACTACTTTTTCATTCGAACCTTAAGGTCAAATTCTGTAATTATAGTAAAAACTTGAATCTTCTCTAATTATTTCTTAAAAGATTTATTTTCAGTATTCTGTTACAATTTAAAAACGTTAATCACTATGGCATAACAATCTTTTTCTTTTAGAAAAATTGATAATTAGTAAAATTATAATGATTTAGTATTTTGTTTTTCTACTTTAATTACAAATTGTTTCACATCCAACACTGCTTTCTTCGGGTAATAAAATGGCATGCTCTAAATACTCGTTTTTTAAAATAAATTATAATTTATGTTTGCCTGTTCTACGGAAAAATTTACATATTCATTTCTGTGCCTTTAATATAATATCTTAATGGCTACGTTATATGCAGATATATTGATGGAGAAATACATTATTTAAATAATCATTCTACCTGTGAGGACTAAATCAGGAATCGTTCTATGAAAATATATATGTGTAATGCGGACTAAAGGTTAGTATCAATACTAATTTTATTTCAAATTAAAATTGTATCTCGAAAATATTTTTTTGTGAATGTGTTTGATCAGTAGAAAAAAATTGCGGGGTGTTGTTTACTTGAATGTCTCATAATGTTACTGGTCATAAGATTATAATTCTGAATTTTTGGATATCCTAAAAATAATCTATATAAATTGTAGAAATGTTTAACTCTACCAAAACATACTTGTGCAACTTATGCTGGTACGAGATACTATGTCGTGCGCATGAATTACTAAGGCGTGCGCGGGAGAAAAATTTGTGAAGTTTGTAAATGAAAAGGGCTCAAAGCTTTAGTCAGAGCTACAGAGAAAAAAACTTTTGACATTAAACTATAATTCTCAATAAAAATATTGATATTGCAAAGTACAATACATAATTGACGGTCATGAAAAGCAAATAATTCTCAATAAAAATATTGAACCATCAAGTGCCTTCCTTGTATATGAAATCGATTAAATTATTGCTATCTGAAACCACATTCGGACCAATAATGATTTTCTTTCCGAAGTTTGGCGGAAAGAGCCGAAAAGTTACGATTGTATGAAGTTATTCCTCATACAGAGAGAATGTATGTGACTGCTGATTATTTGTCAATAACACATCTTATAATGGTAAGGTATTGATAAAATATATACAGGTGCATCTAAATGTGCCTGATAAGGCAAAATATACAAACGTTTGTATAAATGGTGGAGTTTTAACGTGGATTTAAAGTAAGGAGATACGTACAAAATCTGCATGTTAAAACTAGGACTTATACTAACGTCTAAAGTGAGTGTTTTTTCTTCTGATTAATAAATTCACAAGAAATAATTTATTGATTTTTGTAATCTCCATTCCGCAATTATTCATTTCTATACAATATTTTCAAAATGTTTCGCGTCATTTTTAAAGCGTGATTTTTACTGCAAAGCTTCAAAATGTATACATTGTATTTTCACTCATCCACGCAATGGTAGCTATTTGGTTCTATCTAATCTTGCTATTGTCAGCAATTTATAGTTAAATGTTAATTTCATAGTTTTATAAAATCAACATAAAAGATACTTGTATTTAAACTAATATGATTTTCTGGTTCAGATGTCTTTGACGTATATACTGTCCCGATACATGCCGAGTCTGAACCCCGGATCGCAGAGTTCGAGTTATGGACGCGGCGCATGCTTTTTCATTACAGTAGCCTTTAAATGCAGTAATATACATGTATATAATTATAGCGAACCGTCATTCACTGTTGATTCAAATACATATGTGACTATGAGTTGAAAACTTTGCACGGATATTACTTTTGGATACGGAAGATTGGTACTGATACAATACTTAAGGTATCAAAGAGTGTTCGTTGGGTTTTTCCGAGTGCCTCGACAATAGACTTCCGGAATATAGAATGTTTTGGGGTTTCCCAGCTATTTTGGGGTACGTGCGCCAATGCCTGTCAAAAATAATCAGGAATATTGTTCTTTCTACAACTAATCAAGCAAGCAACGCACATTGATAGAGATTTACTCAGACATTCCTTAAATACGAGACACCACCATATATATATCTCAGATATCTCAACACGTCATGTGTTGTTGACAATAAAATATTTAGTTACTGTTCATTGTTCGCATCGGTGTTTTCTGTTTGCATAAGATGCATGGACTATAAAACTGAATTTTATGCTCAAATAATATAAGAGATGGAGATCTATATTTTGTTTACCACAAAAAAGCAACTTTTAACTTTCAGTAGTTCAATTCTTAAATCTGGCTTTAATAATGCAGACGACAATGTCGTGAAGTTTAGATGACTGTCAAATTGCTTTAAGAATTTTATTACACACAATCATCTCCTGTTATTCAGCAAGATGTGAAGATATCCCGACAACCGCGCTTTAAATGCGATTTCTTTTTAACTCTCATTGGCACCGTTCTGGATTTATTTTTCATACGAAATGCACTTGACAACAACATCCGGTCTTGAATTATAATGCAATACAGTTTGTTATTTGATTTGACATTGTGAAAACATCCATTAAATTGAAATTAAGATAACATACTCAAGGGATTAACACCCCACACAGGGCATACTTCACCCTATTTCTTGTTTAGGTCAGGTATTAAAACTTTATGTGCATTTGCTATAGATGTACAATTATATCAATTGTCCCATATACATAGAATGGCTCAGAAAGTTTAAAAATCGAAAGTAACATCCCCTCAACAACTTCTTTCTATCACTTTAGCTCCTCCATCACTCTACAAGCATCAACCAAAAAGTCTGAGAAAATTGACATATCTGATGAAAACGCATTCTCGTCTCTAGTATTTTCTTTCGTGTGTAAATAACCACCATTAACTACATGTATAACCATGTATATACTGCATGTTTTTGTGTTGTATTTTATGTTTTTTTTTGTTTTTGTTTTTTTTTTGCTTAATGCACCCGAGACATGTGTTTTAGGTCGAACCCCTCGATCAGAGTCAAATTTTTCGATCAGGGCTTCGGGAGTTTCCGTGATTAATTAAGTTAGTTTGTTTAATCATATTTTATTGCTTTTACATTTTATACAAAAACAGATACATTGTCACATGTAAAACATACTACAAAACAGTAACGAATACATTTACAGTTAGTACATGGATGTTATAGTTATTATAAAAAAGCAAAAGGGTCGGGCCACAAGTTTGAATTGGCCCTTATTCATGTTATTATTAAGGTAGTTGAATTCAGACAGTTCCAAATTCATTTGTGTCGACATTGCATGCTGTCATGTGAGACGGACAACAAGCTTGCCTATACCTTCCGTCAGGGACTTTTGATTCTTTCATGTGTGGAAGATATACAGATATCATGATGATTCAGATGCACGGGGGAGGAAGTGTTACACGAAGGATGGAGTTCTTATGATAACTTGTTTGGAGTTCTTATGATAACTGTCACGGAGTTCCTGAAAAACGTTACGGATTTCTGTGGAAAACTTTTCTATTTACTTGGACAACTCGCCTAAGAAATGGTTATTTTTAACTTTAAATGGGGAGTTTGGGGTGCTAAATTAAACTTTGATAATTAAGCTTGCCCTACATATTGTATTTTGTTTCAGAAAAATCTTTTAGTCCATATTTTGTCGCCTTTTTAAAAAAAACTGCAAGTTTTGAGAAAAATTACCAAATTACTTGCAAATTCGTACATATTTACGTTTTCATTTGTGATCTTCTTCGTTGCTATACTAAATTACCTAATTATTATGGAGAGTTGCAAACATAAAGCCCTGGCTAATAAATTTATACCCGATTTTTCAAATGTTACGGAGTTCTTGCGATAACTCAAAATATGTCCTGGAGTTCTTATGATAACTTTTGTTACTGCCAGTGTGTTATTGTGCTTAATCACGGCGCGTTTAAGTGTATTTTATTAGACAATAAGTGTGTAAATCATTATGAAGCATAGTACGCTTATCATTTGCACAAAAATTTGGTTATATAACGTTGGTTTTGATCGTGTTTTTATGGAAGCCTTGGATGGTCACTTTTGAGTTTCGACTTATAGATTTATTTTACTATTTTCTTATGACTTTTGATTTATGACTTTTGATTTTTGACTTATGGATTTTGTTATTTCCCACGTGCTTGCCACTATAATTATAATTTCCAAGGAAAATATGGTAGAATATGACAATGATTCAGAATAGGTAAGTTCATTGACCTAAGTTTCCTTGAGACTTATTTAAAAAACAAAATATGTGGGCTCATATGCAAGAACAGAATGTTATTCTTATATAAGCCTTTTAAATTGATTAATTAAGAAAAGAAAATACTTTGCTTGCATTGTATTGCATTTGGTATCCATTTTTTATTTTGATTTCCGGAACAGGGATATATAATCTCAAATTGACATACAGCGTATGAATCAAACGCTTTATTTTTTATATGGGTTCCAGTTTTAAATCCAAACCAGTCTCGCATTGTTGTTTGCTGCAGTTACAATCGGTTTTCACCCGTAGTTCATCGTCCATCTAATATAGACCAAATTATAGGCCTTATTTTGACAAAGAAATTTGTGGTTAAGAAGTTTCATGAAACATGGTATTTCAAAAACAATAAATCATACAGCTTTGAAACTTCACACACTTGTTTAGAACACGCTCTAAGTTAGAAATCTCTGAATTGCATTGTTATCAAATTATGCCTCTTTTTCGATTTTTAGTTCATGGTTTAGAATTTTAATGAAAAATGGTTTCTCAAACACTATTTTAGCGATTCCTTTGAAACTTAGAACACATATTAGGGGTTGACATCTAAGATCAATGACCAAGTCTCGTATGAGTGGCGCACAATTTGACATACTTATGCCCATTTTTAAAGCTAAAATGTTTTGTCAGATGGTTTATGAAATATGGTCCCATAAACCAGTTATGATATAATATTGAAACTTTATTCACTTTTTCAGTATCAATAACTTAGGTCACATACCAAGTACAAAGTTCATGTTATTTGTATATAAACTTTTGTATACAGTTATGTATTAAGGGATTTTTGTACATGTATTTTGTATATATATTTATTTGATTTCAATTGAGATACTTTTAATGTTTTCAGTTTAAATTCTAGTAAAGCTACCTGTAGGAATTAAGGACGTGCTGTCGAATGGTTTCAACTACAAAGCAGTTGCAAGAGCATCAGCAATACATATTTGTCAAGTTTTCGGAGCCAGTTTAGAAGACTAAGAGGTTTCATAGCAAAACAGCGTTCGTTCCGAGTGGAAAGTAGTACAGTTTAGCAAATGCAAAATGTCCAAACACTAGTGATTTGGTTTTCTTCGTTATTGTCTATGGAAATATTCAGACATTTTTGGAATACGTGCGTTACCTTTTCACACTTGTTTCAGACGCTCGATAATTTTCAAGTTTTAACCCCACCACTTATTGTGGACGCTTTATTGGAAACACGCAATGTCATGATGAGACAGAGAAAAGTGTGAAAAATCATGAATTCATAATTCTGGCTTTCATAATTTTCAGTATTTGCCCATTGTAAATTTTAAAACTTAAAAGATAGGTATCGAAATCAAACTTTGCATGTTCATATAGCTTGGCGAGGCAGAAAGAAACATACTTCTTGCTATCATAGCTACATTTTAGAGAGTCCCCTTTGTTGTTGATTTTTTTCTCTTTTTTTTTCATACTTAGATTTTGTTAAACTCATAATTATCCCAAAAACTGTTGGAGGCATCAATTTGAATTTACTGGCAGATATATCTCGGCGAGATAGAGTGCATTGTGTTGTTAACAAAACTTTTGATTATAACATTTTTAATCGTTCTTCTAAGTTAAACATTACCTTTTTCGACATGCTGTGGGTTGGGGGTATTCTCATTACGAAAGACTATGATATTTCCATTACATATAAAGTCGGTTATTCTTCGAAAAGTGGACGTTATTTAATTATTATATATACATTATACAATGTATACAGTTTCTTAAAGTTAACTAGGAAATTTTTAGCTAGAGACTGTGTTTGTTTTTTCTCTCTTTTAAACATTTAGAAATGAAGAAATAACGCTTTGACAATGATTTTAAAAATCTTGACTTCAATAATAATACAGTCACTCTAGCGTTGCTAGTTTACCAAATTTATCTTATGTTTTTAAAAGCTTCGTTAGATCACTCATGATTTTCTTAGTTTTTCATCAGTAACGTATCAAGGACGTGTTGTTTTGTAGAAATATTGCATGTATATATGTCGTCTGTGACGTAAATACTTGACGTTTTTGTTGATGGCAGTGTTTAT